GCCCAGGAGCGCGCGGCTTCGCCACCTGGGGCCTCTCGCCGATCTGTCGGCGAGGCATCGTCGATTCCGGGTCGATGCTCCCCCCTGTGCCCCCCCCGACCGCTCGCCGCTGCCCCTCACTCAAGCCGGGCTCAAGCTGGTCCGAGCTGTGGGAGACGGGGGTCCATGTGAACGGGGGCTCGGGGGGAGGAGCAGGTACTGATGCCGCGGCCCTTCGCCCGTCTCCCCCATTCTTGGGGGCTCCTGGGAGGCCCTCGTCGCTGCGGCCGGACTCGCCTCGAGATCCAGGTCAGGCCGCAACCAGGGAGAGGTCCAGGGAGTGGCGGTGTGGGTACTTGTTGGGTCTGGAGAGAGGCAAGTGGTTGTTGCTCAGGACGTTCCGGCGGAGTGGCCCCCGAACGTACTGGACACGACGTTCTGGCGCAGTGCTCCCGGAACGCATTGGACACAGATTTTGGCCAACTTCTTGATCTGAGTAACCCAGCCAAGGGCATCGCGCCTTTCGGCCTGCCCCTCATTGGGCGTGCTTGCCTCCGAGAGGGTGCAGGTCCAGGCCAGTACCCGCTGTGCGGGGAGTACTGCAGCGCGCCGCTGGGCGCAGCTGGCCCCAGAAAGATCCTCCTCCTCGTCAGCCTCCTGCTCAGGATCACCACCCCCCTCCTCGTCCTCCGCATGCTGGCTGGCCGCGCAAGCTGAAGCTGGCACTCTGGCGTCACGATCGTTCCACCTCGCGCCCTCCCCCCCCAACGAGAGGGCGGGGAAAGGTAGCTCTGGATAACCCACAAGGGGGTCCAGCTACAAGGGGTTTGTGCAATAGATCTGGCGCAATGGATTTGTGGGTTGCATTCGATTTGGGGCGTGCAGTACATTCCGGGGCGCAGATGTACTGCTGGGCTCTCGCGTGCAGCACATGAGCTGCAATACGATGCAATACGATCCTCTGGCGCAGCACATCTGCGATACCACTGCCCCAAATCTATTGCACCAGCCCCTTCCAGCTGCACCCCCTCTGGGGCCAGCCGAAGCTAGCGCTGCGTGGCCAGCTGGAGCGACCTGGTGGCGCGGGCCGCTCTGGCGGGGCTGGCGCGTGGCGTTTCGCTGCGAGCCCGCGGCGCTCGCACGAGGAATGGCCCTCGCCGAGGGCATCGGTGCACTCCCTGCCCCCCCCCCCGCGCTACCGATGGGTTCCGTACCTCAGCAGGCCCTGGAAACGACGGGGCCGTTTCTTTACCGGCTCCGTTTTGCCGCTTTTTCGCCGGTTCCGACGCCGTTTGTCGACCGGCTCCGTTCGGCAATTTTTTAACCGGTTCCCGCTCCGGCTCCAATCCTGGAGCCGTTTTCGCGCCGTTTCTGGTCGCCGTTTTGTTCCGTTTCCATTTCCAAGAGATCCTTTGTCGGATACGGATACGGTGAAAAACAGCTCTGCCGTTTCTGGGGCCACTGAGTCCCTGCCCCCCCCGCGCTACCGATAGGTTCCGTACCATGGTCTTCCCCCCTGAGGGTCGGCTGATTATACCCCACCCCCATTTCGGCAACAGAAACTTGAAAGACTGGGTCCCTGTCTCGAAAAGAAAAAACTGAAATTGGCATCAGCTCTAAGCGCCCAGGGGGCCCCTTGAATGAGCCCTGGGAAAGACCCGACGACACCCCGCGCCCTCTCCCCGCCCTCCCTTGCCCTACCTCTACCTTCCCTCCCTCGCTTGCCCTCCCCTGCAACTTGTTGGGTTGTCTGCGGGCCCGCCTCGAATGGCGCCCCGAAAATGCTGACCAACGCGATATAGTTACTGTGGCGGCGCAGGGGTGGGGTATCATTATGCCATGAAACAAGCATGATTATATACCCCACCCGCAAATGTACCCCACCCACGGAAGGACAAATTCGAAGGCGGCGCGGACGCTGGAGGTCCGTCGTGGACTGCTCCGCCTGGAGGGCCCAGGTACTCCGAAATGTTCAGGAAGGACTGGGAAGAACGCAATAGTTGCCCACGTTTTACGCGATGCACTTTGTCACGCAACGCGCGGGGGCAAATAAACGCATGTTGCTTTGCAAAGGTGCAGGGAACCGAAATACGACTTGCACAATGATAAGATCCAGCCCGACAACGTACATGCCTGGGGTGGGTGTCATATCTCGGACCCAGACCCTCAGACCCAGCATCGTCGCCTCCTGGCGACACGCTGGGAGGAGTATTCGGAAAAAGTCAAAAACATACCCTGGGGACGATGTTTCGACTATTTGCTTGATAATGTTTGAGCATGTGTTGACGATGTCTTTTCCCCCTCCAAGCTCCGCCTGTAGGAGGACATGCCCGACCTAAGGGTCGGCGCCGTGCACAGCCCTCGGAGCGCGGGGCCGCCGCAAGAGGCGAGCAGCGGTGGCGTTCGCGCCGTGGCGCTCGAGTGCTCCCTGGCCTTCATGACCCCGCCCTCCTCCTCCTCCTCCTCCTCCTCCTCCTCCTCCTCCTCCTTCTCTCCTTTCTCCTCCTCCTCGCCTCCTCTCCTCCTCCTTCCTCCTCCTCCTCCTCCTCCTCCTCCTCCTCCTCCTCCTCCTCTCCTCTCCTCCTCCTCTCTCTCCTCTCTCCTCCTCCCCCTCCTCCTCCTCCCTCCTCCTCCTCCTCTCCTCCTCCTCTCCTCTCCTCCTCCTCCTCCTCCTCCTCCTCCTCCTCCTCCTCCTCTCTCCTCTCTCCTCCTACTCCTCCTCGCTCCTCAAACCACTTGGGCCCGAACCATTCGGCGGGGCCCATTCTCCTGTACCTGCCCGAGGTGCTTGAGGCACTCCGAGCTCCGCTCAGCTCCGACCGGTCCGACCGGTCCGCTCGGTTGACTAGAGCAGGAGGTTTCGCGTCAGACGTGTCACGTCCAGCGTCACGTTCAGTGTCCCTTCGGCGGTGGCCTCGCTGCGAGAACTGCAAGAGGTGCGAATGGAACGATGTCCTCAGCAAGATGGTCAACACATGCGTGCACTGTGCCGACGAGGTCAAGATCTACAGACCCAAGGGCGGCAAGAAGCTGCCAGCATGTTCGGCTTCCAGGGAGAGGCGTGAGCGTTGGGTCACGATCGCTGACTGGGTTGACGAGCCGCTGGGCAAAGCCGAGAACACCAGCTTGCGGCCGTGGACGCAGCCAGTTTTGTACGTCATCATCCCATGGAGGCGCCGAAGATCACACCCCAAGGATGAGGAACTTAACAGGTTCCTCAAGCCAAAGGGTGGAGTCGCGAGGCGGAGATTTATCCATATCCACCGCCTGGGAACCGACGTCCTGGTGCCCCAGCGGGCGGTGGATATGGATATATAGTTCGGCACCCGGGGGCCCGAATGTGTCCACATCCACCGCCTGCCGAGGCTCCGAAAACTGACCCTCCAGGCGGTGGATATGGATAGCTTCCCGCCTCGGAGGGAGTCTCTTTCGACGACCCAGGCGCCGTCGACGCCACCTTCGGCAGCGGCGGCGCTGACTAAGGCGGAGACTCCGCCCGGCGCGACGCCGGCCACGAGCGCGACCAGGCCGTGGCCAACGTGCGGAGGCTGCCCTCCGCCCCGTCTGTTGCCGAAGGCAGGGAGGCCGCGGCGGCTGCCATCCTTGCCAAGGCCGAGATCGCGCGCGAGGGCGCGGCCGAGTCGCTCGCGAGGGCCGAGGGGGGGCTGCAGCGGCGCCCGAGGCCATCCCCGTTGACGACAAGGCGTCCGAGCAGCTCTTCGAGCTCCGTGTGGGACGGGCCCCTCTTCCAGGACGTCGAGGGCTCGGAGGTGGAGGAGTCCGAGGAGGAGGAGCTGCGCACCATCCACGAGCAGCTCACCACCAGGCAGAAGGCATTCACCACGTCGTCGGAGGCGAAGGAGTGGCTAGCCAAGGCTGCCACGGTGCGCGACGCCATCGACCAGCGGATGGCCAAGAAGAGGAGGTCCAACGACGGCGGCGCCCAGGCCGCAGCGACCAAGCCGCAGGCGCCGCTCGTGGACGGTGTCGCCGTTGTCGTCGTCCATGCCGCCAGTGTGTGCCTCAGGTACACCACGGCAGCAATCAAGTCCCCTTCACCCCCCAGTGGACACGGCCTGCAAGCATCCTCGCCACCTCGAGGATAGAAGAGGGCACGAATGGCGGCGCAGTGACAATGATGACGTTGCGCGTGAGCAGCGCCACTCCACCAGACACCCCCAGCGCCCCCTCGCCTGTGGCCTGGCCTGGGGCCCACAGCCCGTGGTAGCCCAGGTCGCGCACGTGAGGAGGAGGAGGAGGAGGAGGAGGAGGAGGGGGGAGGGAAAAGCCTACGAGGGAAAAATGGCGCTGACGACAAGTGGGGGGGAGGGGATGTATGGGAAATAACGGCGATACTGGAGAGGACGGTATTGTAGGATACGGGAGGGCGGCATTGTACGAGGAGCAGGAGGATGAGGAGGAGGAGGAGGGAGAAGTAGGACGACGAAGCGCAAGGGAGCAAGATGATGAGGACGAGGAGGGTCTGCGCGAGAAGTCAGGGAGAAGGCTGAGAACGAGGACGGGAATAATGCTGGTGATGAGGAGCTGAAGGGTAAGGATAATGGTGATGATGACGGTGCGGATAATGGCGACAAAGACGAAGAGGGAGGATGATGGGAACGCGGAACATGATATTAGTCGGCTGAACATGGTGATGGTGATGACGATGATGCTGACGGTGATGATGATGCCGATGAAGATGATGCCGACGAGGGCGATGACGACGATGATGGTGGGATGATGACGATTATGAAGGGTGGGTGCGGGTCACGACGAGGGCAAGGCGGATGCTTATAATGTAAGAAGGAGAAGGAGGAAGGCGACGCCCGGGATGGGAATGCACAACTGCGGGAGGATGACAGGGATATGGGATGTGAGGGGGACGGCGGGGAACATGAAGACGAGCGAGAGGTAGAGAGAGAGAGAGAGCGAGAGAGAGAGAGAGAGAGAACACGACGAGGGAGAGGGGAATACGACAAGGGGGCGAGGAGCCAGTCGCTGCAGTGCAAGGCCCCCAGGGCCTGGTCCCAGCAGTACAGCGTCTCGGAGGCGGCGTGCAGGTAGAACCCCTCACACGGGAGGGGCAGGAGGAGGAGGCGAAGCAACAGTGGGAGGAGGAAGAGACGCACGGGGACGAAACGAGAAGGGAACGGAGCGCGAGTAAAGAGGGGAATGGCAAGGAGGAGGAGGAGGAGGAGGACGAGGAGGATGGTTGGAGAAGAAGAGACGGAGGAGGAGAGACGGACCGCCTCCCACAACGCAATCGGCGACAGCCGGCCTTCCGATGCACTGCGCGCACCAATCCTCTAGGCAGATAATCAGAGTAAGCGCGCTGCCCGCATCATTGTATACTTCTACGAGGGAGGCAAGAATTTGGTCGAGCATGCCCCCCTATACAGGCGGATTTTCGATGAACAATAAAAAGCGCAAACCAATATCTCTATATATATATATATGTATATACACACCAGCCAAACAAATGCTAGAAACATCGGCCCCATAGTATGGTCTGACTGCTTCCCCGCAGAAGAAAATTCGCGAGAGAGGCAAGGAGGAACTTGCCGTCGCTCGGACGTCCATTTCCCGTGTATGTTTCGGTGTTTGTGTTGCTCGATGGTCCAGGATGCCCACGTCCGAGCGATGCCAAGGTGGAAGGAGGGAAGCACAGCACAGCACAGGAGCAGTGTATTAAAAGCAGCGGTGCACCCGCGCATGCGTGGGCCAGTCTTGGATGGCGCCCGCACGGAGGGCCCCTCGCGAGCAGAGGCGCACGCCAACCACGAGAAGAGAAAGAGAGAGAGAGAGAGAGACCTCTTCCTCCTCCATCCTCCCTTCTCCCCCCTCCTCCTCCTCCCTTCTCCTCCTCCACTCTCCTCCTCCTCTCCTCCTCCTCCTCCTCCCTCCTCCTCCTCCTCTCCCTCCCTCCTCCTCCCTCCCTCTCTCCTCCTCCTCCCCCTCCTCCCCCTCCCCCTCTCCTTCTCCTCCTCCTCCTCCTCCCTCCCTCCTCCTCCCTCTCCCTCCACCTCCTCCTCCTCCTCCTCCTCCACTCGCTCCTCCTCCTCCTCCTCCTGATGGGAGAACAACAACAAAGAAGAACAGAAGGAAAGAGTGAGAACAGGGGGAGAAACGTTCACAGCCAGATGACTCCCCAGGTCCACGAGCCTGGTACGGGTGGGAGGGGACATGCGAACTGTAGTGACGGAGGGTGCACTCAGTGTGCGCCACGAGCTGACCGCTCCAACTCGGCCCGAGCTCCTCGAGTTGTCCACCAAGATGCTTTTCCACCTGATCAAGGGCCGTCAAGACAAACTACCGTCGGGGCGTTGACCTAAGGAACCCTACACAAGGAACGAGGTCCCTTTTCCCCTTAGATTAAACTCAATCTCCCAAGGGAAACTGCAGTAAGGCAAACTGTGAAGCAATCAAGGAGCACCGAGCCCCTCCCCAACGAAAAGGGTTCTTTCTTTGGCGCCCCGACCGTATCTGACAACTGCTCCTCTGATTCCTTCACCGTGTGCGGGGCACGCCCGAGCGCACTGCCAGCGCCGGCCACGGCGGCTTTGACCAAGCTGGGCAGCTCGCCACCGATGTCCTTCACAGCGCTCGTGATCTTTCGGTCGCTCCCAAACGGCAGTTCTAGGTGAGCAAGAAGTGAGATAAACATAACAACTCGGAGGTCCGCGCGGATTTCTCGGATCGGCGCTGGGGCCCCCCGGCGGCGCCTCTGGCGCCGCCCCTGGCGCGCTCCGCGCGCCAGGGAGGGGGGTCCAGCGCCGATCCGAGCCATCCGCGCGGACCTCCAAGTTTTTATGTTTATGCCACTTTTTGCTCCCCTAAATTCTGCCACTTACCGATGGATGTGCACGGCGTCCTGGCAAGAAGCGCCCGCAGACTTGTCCTGGCGTCTCCTCCCTGGACGCGCCGGCACCCGAGGCTGTGCATTGTCCACTCCGACGGAGGCACCCTTGACACAGCGGGGGCCCCAGCAGAGTCAACCAGTTCGAGGAGGCCTAGTAACGCACGAGCTCTGGTTAGGGGAACAAAAGTGACATAAACACAAAAACTCGGAGGTCCGCGCGGATTTCTCGGATCGGCGCTGGACCCCCCTCCCTGGCGCGCGGAGAGCGCCAGGGGCGGCGCCGGAGGCGCCGCCGGGGGGCCCAGCGCGGATCCGAGAAATCCGCGCGGACCTCCGAGATTTTATGTTTATGCCACTTTTTGTTCCCCGACTGGTGGTGCGACTACACGAATCCACTGTAAGATGCTGGCTGTGCATCTCACAATTGCTTTGCCCGTTGTCAAATCTGCTGGCTGTGGAACACCCTCGACACGGGCAATCGCGTGACTGGCCCCGGAGGTGACGAGACGAGGAGGAAATGAGGAGGAGGAGGAGGAGAAGGAGGAGATGGAGATGGAGGAGACGAGAAGAGAACAGAGGGGGAGGAGGAGGAGGAGGAGGAGGAGGAGGAGGAAGGAGGAGAGGAGGAGGAGGAGGAGGAGGACGAGGAGGAAATGAGGAGGAGGAGGAGGAGAAGGAGGAGATGGAGATGGAGGAGACGAGAAGAGAACAGAGGGGGAGGAGGAGGAGGAGGAGGAGGAGGAGGAGGAGGAGGGAGGAGGAGGAGAGAGGAGATGGAGATGGAGGAGGAAGACAAAACTGAGGAGAAGGAGAGGAGGAGGAGGAGGAGAATTGAGGGAAAAGAAGAGGAGGAGGAGAAGAGGGGGCAGGAGAAGGATGAAGAAGAGAGGAAGGAGGAGGAGGAGGAGGAAGAGGAGGAGAAACAGGAGGAGAAGGAGGAGGAGGAGGAGAGACGGAGGAGAAAAGAGAAGGAACAGCAGCCGCGAGACAGCAGCAGCGGGCAGGAGGATGGAACAAAAGCTTGTGATCAATTGCACGTTGGCATGGACCTGGGATCCGTGGATTTGGCGCACGGGTGCCGCCTCCTCCTCCCCTCCTCCTCCTCCTCCCTTCCTCCTCTCCCCCTCCTCTCCTCTCCTCCTCCTCCTCCTCTCCTCCTCCTCCTCCTCCTCTCCTCCTCCCCTCCTCCCTCCTCCCTCTCCCCCTCCTCCTCCTCCCTCCTCCTCCTTCCTCCTCTCTCCTCCTCCTCCTCCTCCTCCTCCTCCTCCTCCTCCTCCTCCTCCTCCTCCTCCTCCCCCTCCTCCCCCTCCTCCTCCCCTGGGCGCCTCCCCCTCCTCCTCCCCGAGGTCTGGCGCCAGTGCCGCCTGGTTTGGCGACGGAGCGCGCCGAGTCGGCACGCCAGCATGGGCCTGGGATCCGTGGACCGGGCGCACGGGCGCCAGACGGTAGAGGGAAACAATCACTGAACACTCCCCCTCCCCCCAAAACTCCACGTTGGCACGCGCGGGGGAGACTGCGGTCGAAGTGCATCTCGTCAGACCCACCGCCAACTTTGAACATTGGGAGGAGGGGGAGGCGTTGACGGATGAATGTGGCATGAGTGTTCGCTAATTTGTTCCGAGGCCTGGATCCACAGATCGGGGCGTACCCCCCCGAGGTGCTGGGCAACGATGCAGTGGGGGCTCGGCCACAGGAAACCTCCGCAAAAAAAAACCCAGCCCTGAAATCCGCGATCTGTTCCGTGGAAATCCAAATTCATCGACCGAAAACCGTCAAGATATTATTTAGGGGGCCCATCGAAATCCAAGAAACCCAGGGCACCCTGGCAAAATCCAACTGGTTTCTAGGCACACGCCCCCACTGTAGGGGGGGACTGGCAATAAATAGGGGGGCACATCGGCCTGGAATCGACGAGACGTCGCCCATGGAGATCGGCGATGGGCCCCCAGATCCGCACACGTCCCTGGGCGGGGTGGGGCCATCGGGCCCTCGTCGGCGATCAATGGGCGATTTGGGGGCCCGCCCCCCCTGCCACTGCCTCGGGGATCCGCAGATCGGGGGGCGCCCCCCCGAGGTCTGGCGCCGCTGCCGCCCGGTCTGGCGACGGTGCGCGCTGATCCTGCACGGCAGCCAGGCCCGCCGCCAACCCCCGCGCCTCCGTCCCCGTCTGCGCTTCCCCGGAGGAACAAAGGAGGACCCCCCAACGGCCCGTCCTTGAGCGTGTCGCCGTCGACCTTCGGCGGCGAGCGAGGGGGGGAAGTGAGAAGGAGAAGGCCTTCTCAGAAGGCGGCGGGACTGCTCAGAAGGCCTCCAGCCTTCTGGGAGGTCTTCAGCGCCTTCGGGGGGGGCTTAGGAGCCTTCTCGGAAGGCCGGGGGATTCCCGAGCCTTCTGAGAAGGCCCGCCCCTTCTCACCTCCCCCCGGGCTCGCCGCCGAGACCTTCCACCGGTCCCGCGCGTCGGCGAACGCCCCGGCGATGCCCCCGTCGACGAGGGGCTCGTCGGGGGCGCCCTGGCCGTGGGTGCCCTCCTGGGCCTCCTCGCCAGGGCTGACGGCGCCCTCGCTGTCGCTGCCCGTGCCCCCGCTGCTGCTGCTCTCCGCGTCCCAATCCTGGCGGGAGCCGAAGACCGGGGCGAACTCGCGGCCGCGGCAGCTGTCCATGGGGGAGAGCGCCGCGCGCCCGAGCCAAAGGCTGCGGGCATGCCAAGACACAGCGCACACGCACGCACGCGCACGCGCGCGCGCACACGCACAAGCACACCGCGCACGCCTGCGCCCGCGCACGCGCACACGCAGACGCGCAGACGCACACTGACGCACACGAGCACGCACACGCACGCTTGCGCGCACGCTTGCGCACACGCCTGCGCACACGCACACGCACACGCGCATACGCACACGCCTGCGCCTGCGCACAGGCACACGCACACGCACACGCATCCTCACGTTCACGCTCACGCGCTCGCACATGCACGCTCACGCTCACGCGCGCGCGCGCACGCGTACACACACGTACGCACGCACGGACACTCGCACGCTCACGCACACACAGTAACTCAGCACGGCACAACTCGATACAGCACGATACAATACAACGCATCACCGGAACACATAGCACAACACAGCACATCATAACACGCCACAAGCATTACACACAACACACACGCACACTTTCTGTCGCAGCCGCAGGCGAGGGCGCCAACGGCGAGTCAGGTCCGAGCGGGCCGCGCAAGAGCCGAACTGCCTAACGCCGACGGGCCGGCGACCTCAGCAGCGCCTCGGCGGGCGGGCCGGCGAGGGGGGGGTGCGAGCTGCAGCTGCCAGGGGGATCACACAACACACACACACACACAACGCACACACACACACACACACACACACACACACACACACACACACACACACACACACACACACACACACACACACACACACGCACACACACACACACGCACGCACGCGCGCGCGCACGCACGCACGCACGCACGCACGCACGCACGCACGCACGCACACACCCACACACTCGCGCGCACACACGTACACATGCGTGCTCACATGCATCGTTGGGGTGTGCACAGCACATGCGTGCGTGCTTCTCGGCCTCTGCCTCCATCCCCCTTCTCCTCCTCATCATTTTCCTCCTCTTCCTCTCCTCCTCCTCCTCCTCAACTCCTCGTCCTCCTCCTCCTCCTCCTCCTCCTTCTCTTCTCGTCCTCCTCATCCTTCTCGTCCTCCTCCACTCCTCGTTCCACTACTGGCCACAACGCTCGTTGCGGCCGCAGTCTCTGGATCTTCGGACGGACCTGCGGAATCACCTCTGACACGAGGGTAGACGAGATTTACGTGGGAGAGTTGTTACTATTCTGTCGCAAGTGTATGAAGAAAGGTCGCTACAATTAGATTAAGCGTTCTTGGTCCAGGGTTCACCGTGGAGGTCGACAGGACACGACATGCCCCTGGAACGCAGACAAGGACAAACCATGATGAATAACGCTTGGGGTCTGGCCGCCTAGACCATCAAAGTCAAACCCGACGGAACCAGTCGAGGGTTCATGAAACTGGCAAACCGTAGTCCATCCGCCAAGCATAATCCGCCGACCCCTTGGGGATCATCGGCGTGTGAGATGTTCCCCCCTCCCCAAACCCCTCCCCTGGGAGCCTGGTCTGGTCGATTTGGAAGGGGGGGGGGGGCCGACGAGCGCATCGCGGGCTCTTCCGGGCCCAAGAGGGCTTAAAGATGGGTCAAGAAGGCCCCAAGAGGGTTCCAAGACGGCCCACGAGGGCCCCGAGACGCCAAACGAGCGCTCCAAGACGCCCAAGATGGCCCAAAGACAAGCTAAGAGACCTCCTAGACGGCCCAAGAGGCCCCCACGAGGCCCCAAGAGGCCTCCAAGATGCGTCCCAATAGGGTCCCTAAATGCCAAAAAACAATGCTCACTGCCTTCGTACAACGTACGATGTTTACAAATTCGCCCTCTGGGCCTTCCGATGCTCCCAGACGGCCCAAGAGGCCCCCCAAACCGCCCCAAGACCGCGCAAGAAGCCTCCAAGAGGGCACCAAGATAGCCCAAGAGGGCCCCAAGACGGCCCAACAGGCGTCCAAAACGGCCCAAAAGGGCAGCGAAAACGGCCCAAAGAGCGCTCCAGGAGCGCTCCAAGTGGCCTCTAAGAGAGCTCAATATGGTCCCAGACGGTCCAAGAGCGATCAAAGACACCGAAGATGGCCTCCAGACGGCCCAAGATGCCCCCAAGAGGCCCCGAGAGGCATCCAAGATGCGTCCCAAGAGGGCCTCTAGACGCACACATTGGCCCGTGCCCTTCGTGAAACGTGCATGTTTCTCAAACTCGCCTTTGGGGCTTTCCGACGCTCCCAGGCGGCCCAAGAGGCCCCCAAGACCGCCCCAAGACGGCCCAAGAAGCCTCCAAGAGGGCCCCAAGACAGCCCAAGAGGGCGCCAAGACGGCTCCAGAGGCGCCGACGACGGCCCCAGAGAGCCCCGAAAACGGCACCAAGAGCGCTCCAGGCGTGTTCCAAGTGGTTTCCAAGAGAGCTCCACATGGTCCCGCACGGTCCAAGAGCGATCGAAGACACCCGAGATGGCCTCCAGGTGGCCCAAAACGCCCCCAAGAGGCCTCCAATATGCGTCCCAAGAGGGTCCCTAGCCGCAGAAATGTGCTCATTTCCATTGTAAAACGTACGCTTTTCACCAATTCGCCCCGTGGGCTTTCCGACGCTCCAAGACGCCTCAAGAGGCACCGAATACCGCCCCAAGACGGCCCAAGAGGCCCCCAAGACGGCCCCACGGCGGCCCAAGATGGCCCCAAGACGGCCCAAGAGGCCCCCAAGACGGCCCAAGAAGGCTCCAAGACGGCACCAATTGGGGCCCAAGAGGGCAACCAAAAAATCCAAAATCTAGCTTTCCACCCCCACGAGCCCCAGGGGGGCCCAAGAGTGCCCCCAGAGGCCGCCAGAGGCCGCCAAGAGGCCGCCAAGACGCCCCAAGGAGCCCCCAAGAGGCCCCCAGGAGGCCCCCCAATGACCCCCATACGCTTCCGTATTGCGAGCCGTCAAGCCAACTGCAATGCACTCCGCGCATGCAGCCTTGCTCTTCCTCGCGACGTGCTCACTATCTTGTTCGGCGCTAATGTGCTGCTGCCGCGCAAACAGTTCCGCGCGCGCTGCGAACGTCAACAGCCTCTTCACCCGTTCCGACTCATCTGCCACATCTTTCGCGGCGATGCCTCGCCGATCACAGCTTCCGCACACTACTCTTGCTCCTTTCGTCGTCTGGTGGTCCTCCACTTGGTTGCGGGTCGAAGGGCCGACCTCCCAGAAGGACACCCCGCACCCGGGTGCACAGCACGCAAGGCGCTCGCAAAACGCAGACATTTGGACCCCCTACGTATCTCCCACCACCCGCGCGCGACACCGCGCCCTCACACAAGACGCCGCTGGCCAGAAACTCCTGGCCTCGCAACACTCACGGAAAGGTGTCGGCGGATGCGGCGTAAGCCTGTAGAACCCACGTCCGGAGGTGACGTGCTGAGCGGCAGCGTTTTCTGCGGAGGCGATAATGCAACGTATCCAATGTGTCCAATGATTGCATAATTGCAACGTGTTGTATTGTATTACATTATTATGTCTCCCCCCCTTACCCCCCCCCCCCCCCCCCCCCAGGGGGCAACGCCACTGCCGTCGACCCAAAGGTGGCGGACCCCTTCTGGGCTTCCAACGCATCAAAAACCATGTAAAATCTATGGTTTTGCCCTTTGGGCCCTCTTGGAAGCCAACGATGGCGTCGAGACGGCTCAAGATGGGCTCTGCGCGGGCCAAGACGGCCCCAAGACGGCCCAAGATTGCCCCAGGAGGGCCCGCAAAGCCTACAAGATGGCCCAAAAGGGGTCCCAGAGGGCCCCCAAGAGCGCTTCCAGAGGCCCAAATCATCGATTTCTCGTAAGGACTTGAAGGATTTTAGCGTTCTCGCGTCTTCCGACTCTTCGAGGCCTGTGACGGCCCAAGCAGCTTCCAAAATCGCCCCAGAACGGCCCAAGAAGCCCCCAAGAGAGCCCCCAGACCGCCCAAGAGGGCCCCAACACAACCCAAACAGGCCCCCAATACGGTCCAAGAAGCCCCAAAGACGGCCCAAGAGGACCCCAAGAGAACCCCAAGGCGGCCGCGAAAGGCCCCCAAGACGGCTACCGAAGGGACCGAACGGCGCACGAGAGCCCCAAGACGGCCCAAGACGCCCCCATGAGGCCCCACGAAGTCCAAAGAGGCCTCCAAGAGGCCCCGAGAAGCCCCCAAGACGCTTCCAAGAGGCCCCCAAGAGGCTCCCTAGAGGCCCCGCAACGACTGGACTGCACGTGCTCTGGCGTGCACGTGCCTCTTCAGGGCTCGCGCATCGCAAGACCGTCCCAAGACGGCCCCAGGTGCGCCATAAGGGTCCCCAGCAAGCCCCTCAGAATCCACACAGACGCCCAGAGGGAGCGTCCGAAAGGCCCACCAGAAGCCCTGAGGAGTCACGCAACGACTGGCCTGCACGTGTTCCACACCTGCGCCAAGACACATCGATTGCAATCTCCGCATGTGCGATCCAGAGATCCAGCTGACTCGCGACAACATGACGCAATCCTTTTTCCACATCACTTCCTGGCAAGGACACGATGAGTGGCCGCCGCGACAGCTTCGCCATCGAAGAAGCTCAAGCAAGCGGCGACAGCTCCATCCTCGACGCGGTGAAACATCTGCTGCGGGGGAATTCCAGGACATGCAATCCCGAAACGCGCGCGGGCAGTCGGAGGCTCGGCAGGTTCGGCCAGACGCAACGACAATGTAGGAGACGGGGACATGCAGGAGTCACTACTGCTTGCCTCTACACTTCGTGCACAGGACGCCTCTATTGCCACGCTGTGACGAGTTGAGAGCGTTTCGCAGAATATCGGCGTCGCACTTCTCGCACTTCAGCATCGACTCACGGCGGCAGTCTGCACACCTCCATTGCGGCATCCTCCTGACTGAATATTTATCCATCTTTGGTCGCGGCGTCTCGCCGCATTCTGAACAATTCGGGAACTTACACAGGTCGCAGTAGTGCGCGCACCCGTCTTCAATCGAGCGGCTGGCCCCCTTCCGCATCCTCCCTCACAGAGGGGCATCATCTTCTGAACGACGCACGCCGTGCAAACCAAGTCCTTCAAGCTGCGGTGCTTCTTGAACGCGGTCTCATCGAACTGCCCCTTTGGCTTCTGCACCGCGCGCTGTGAGCACTCGAAGAGGCGGGCCTCCAACGTCAAGTTGAAATGGAGCCGCTCTGGATTGCAGCCGATGCAGACGGCGCGGTGAAGCTCGCCCTGCGCCTTCAGGTCGTTCACTTCCCCAAGCCTGAAATGAGTCAACTTCTTCCGCTGCCCGCGCCGGAAGCACTCGAGGACGTCCGCCCCTCGCGACTTGAAAGGAGCTGACTTGGCGGTCGCCGCGGTTGCGGCAGGTTCTCCCGCCCGCTTCTGCGCGCACAGGGCGCACCTCCTCCATGCGCCTTGGCTCAGCACCGCTACGGCATGCTCCACAGGATCGCCCGTGCTCATGCCACTTCCTGAGAAGTTGCTCGGTTTCTCCCGTTGGTGGCAGTCGCCGCACTGGAACGTGGCGTCCACCAATTTCTGCGACGACCTGGAAGCCGCTTCCTTCTCTGCCTTGGCCCAGGCGGCTTTCGCCTGTTCCGTCGTCATCTCCCCAGCTGTAAGGGAGTGCAGAAGCCACGGACCAGTCTGATGCCCCTGGCGGAAAAGCATGGGCGAGAAGGGCTGTGTGATGATCAGGTCATCTGCTCTCCTGGTGCGGCTGATGGCCACGTAGCCAGTGGGGACCATGGACGAACGGGGCGTCGTCCGCGCGTCCAGGAGGTCGATGATGGCCTGCGGAAGAGTGGCGCCGGTGACGCAGTGGGCCGTGGCGGCGAAGTGCGGGACGAGCGAAAACCCCGTGCGCTTCACCATGGCCTTGAAGCCGGGACTGCGATCCCAGGACACTTCCTTCAACTTCACCGGGAAAACGCCAGCGGGCTGATTGCCGAAGCGGGGGGCCGTGCTTCCTGGAATTCTGACCATGATCGCATCGGGCACGTGCTGCAGGACCAGCTCCGGCTCGGACCTCTGCTCGTTCGCCAGCTTGGAGTCGTCGGGGTGGAGGACCCAGCCAGTCACGGTCCCCCAGGAATGCTTGCATGCTCCCGCCTCCGCATTCTCCGTGGTCGTGAAGCGCGCATCCCTTCGAAGATCGGTAGCGCGCCCGGAACTCCGCCAGTCTTGTTCTCTGGGTACACGAGCCAGTTCTGCCTGGCGTGGGCGAGCGACTCCTTCGGCCTGCATGCGTCGTCCCGAGTGAGGGGGGCGTCGCGCGCCACCACCCACAGGAGCTGCTTCCCAGCATTTGCTGCCGCATTCGCCGCTCGCAGAGTCAAAATTCTGCTCTTCGGGGCGTCGTAGGGGTGCGCGAACAGCGCGTCGGCGAACGCCGTGCTCACCTCCCGCTGTCTGGCATCGCTCTGAGAGGCAACGCGGCAGCGCCGACGCCGTTCCGCGCTGCAGTCGGCGCACTCAAGAGATCGCATGTCCTGCCAGGGCCGACCCTCTCGGAACATCCGCGGCCACTCAGCTGACCAGAGCGCGCGGCACTTCGCGTGGCCACAGACGAGGTGCCCCTTGGAGGCCTCGGCGCTGCCGGGAGCTGCAGGCATCCAGGAGCCGGGCACGTCCGCGGGGAATCCGCGGACGAAGTCGCACATCCTGTCCGACAGATTTCCCGCGCGCGCTTCCGCGAGGAAGCTCCTCCACCACGGGTCTGAGCAGCGGTGCGACTGACTGAGAGCGAAGCGGTGCGTCGCCGAGTGCGGCAAGCCCTCTGTCCAGAACATCTCGAGCATGCGGCCGACGTTGGCGGGCCGCTTCAGGAAAGGATTGGCAGCAATACTGAGAGTCCTCACGGGCGGTATCTGCCACAGATCTTCGAGAAGTACCAGGTTCAGCCCGCCGAACATGGCGAACTGTTTCGGGGCGCGTGCGTCTACGGCCCACGGGTTCCCCTTGTCCCTCGTCGAGTCCTTCACCTGCCTGTGCGCGGCGTCCAGAAGCTCCACAGATACATTGTCAACCTCGTCGATGATGAGCCAGCGCATGTGCTGGATCTTCGTATGCAGAAAATTCTCCGACAGCTCAGGGTCCTTCTTCCCGCCTGAGTGGACTCCCGTGATGAGATCGATTCCGAGCTTGCTGAAGTTGTGGATGGTTCGCCCACCGATATTGCTCGCCATGGAATTCGTCGGGGCGGTCTTCATGAAGTGCACCTCGTGGTCCCACCCCATGCGCATGGGGAACAACCCCGCGTCCTCGTCGCACAACCACCGGATGACCTCAGACTTCCCCGATCCCGGTAGACCGAGAACGAACAGCCGAGAGCATGGCGAACCGCGCGGCAGGTCTTGCTCTTTCGCCTCTTGGACGCACCTGTCGGCGACGGCGTTCAAGATGCTCATCTGCTGCGGGTCGGGGGTGATCTCCTGCGTCTGGAGTCCTTCAGCGGAACAGGGAGAAGCATAGGCCGGCCTGACTGCACAAACCATCCATACGTACATTTGCTTCACAACCCTTGCTGCTACGCGCTGCAAGCACCATGCCACCTGCCTGAAATGCTCAGGTGTGTGTATATATGTGTGTATGTATATATGTATATATACACGAATGTACGTGTACACGCACACATAAATCTTCCACGGTACTCATGGCTCGACGGAGGCATTCAAAGCGGCCCGTGCGAAGTCCCAGCAAGTGCATCGACAAGATCTATCCACCTTTTCCGACATAATTCGACCTACTCCACACGCAGAACATGACGCTACGCATAAAAGGCTCCGTGCAATCTCTGTAGGGGACATGCCGGCTCGGGTGTGTATATTTAGATGTGTATGTATATACGTGTATGTATACACAAATGTACATGTACGCGCACACAACAATCTTCCACGGCACTCATGGCTCGACGGAGGCATTCAAAGCGGCCCGTGCGAAGTCCCACCAGGTTTGTCCACGGGATCTATCCACCATTTCCGACACAATTCGGCCTACTCCACACGCACGACATGACGCTACGCATAAAATGCTCCGTGCAATCTCCGTGGGGGACATGCCAACTCGGATGCCGAGTACTTTCTTTTCGATACCTGCTCCCAGGGCGACTCGCATGCCCCCGACACTCGTGCGTGCATCGCATACACATGCAAGCCCACGCTCCCGTTTGCCCTGCCCCCCCCCGTCCTTTCCGCCAACGCTGGATGTTCCTGGTCAGGTGTGCGTCGCCGGGGTGCAGCTTCTCCCGCTTGTTCTGGCGGGCCGTCTTCCGCGGCGGCTCTGGGGCATTCCTGCGAGCACCCGCTGGCGTCGCGGTGGAATACTGCAGGGCAGACTGGCGCTGAGGCCCGCGCAACGTGGGCTCGCTGTTCGGCGGGTCCCAAAAGGACATGCTCTGCTCCAGCGCTTTGTGCACCGAATGGGACAGGTGCCCCATGCCCTCGCGGCATCTGGCCCTGCGTCGCGGTCGACTCGGCGCAACTCCGACATGATGGTGCTGGGGCTGAGGACAGGGGGCGCGTCCTCGGGCAGCGCCTCCACTGGCTTCACGTTCTGGTCAACCTCGTCCTCGTCGGCGTTTTCTGGCATCGTCGTCATTGTTCGCAGCGCGTTAGCACAGAGGATCCGGTTCGAGGTCGAGACGATGTGGCCGCGCAGATAGTCCTTCAATGCCTTTCGGAAGCTCGGCGGGTTCTTCCCAGTGCGCGGGCGCTTCGGCGGCAAGTTCAGATGCCTCGCCAGAGGGACAAGCCCCCGAGAAGATCCGTACCCGCACACCAGCGTCCATGGTCGGAAATACGCAGACAACACGGCGCTGCGGCGCTCCGACGTCATGTCGGGCTGCGGCATCACGGACTGAATGAAGACAGGGAGCGCAGGAACATATCGAGGTACGATGACGCACATGTGCGCGAAAACCTGGTCGACCGGGCCCTCCTCCAACGCGAAATAACCAGCGTTGCCCGTCGGCGGCTTCACCTTGTAGTGAACCGACGGCCGCGGAGGCCCGTCCGCCGCGGCGGGAGGATGCCCCACCCAATAGGTCCAACTCGCGGACGCCTTCGAGATGTCCCTGGGCGGCGGGCACGTTGGGACCACTTCGTAGAAGCGGATAAACTCGCACGGGCTCAACGTCTTCAGGTCGGCTGCACCTGGGCGCCGCGCGCACGCCCACGCCGTCGCGTCTGGCGGCGTGGCGACGTCGCCCGTCTCCGTGAACAGCGCCGACTTCTGCTCGCGCCGCGCCGTCGCGCGACCTGCCCCAGTCTCCGCCGTCACAACCTTGAGAAAGCAGCCCGCTTGGAAGTCCGCGACAGGGCGCGACGTGATGCATTCTGCTGCAAGCGGATTCGGCCTATCCGAGAAGTAGGCCAAGCTCATTTCCTCGAAGATGGTCCGCGCCACGCCCTTGGCCTCCCAGTCCCCGACGCAACGGTGAACGGTGTTCAACGTCTGCTGCATGTCGGACTTCCCCTGGAGCCGCTCCGCCAGCGTGGACAGGCAGGTCTTCGCGAGCTCCCGCGCCTTCTTCCCGACGCGCTGCACTTTGGACATCGAGCGCTGCACTGCGAAGGCGATACGTCGTAGATATGCCTCTCCGGTCTCTCCTCTCGCTCCGTTCCGACACGAGCAATTCGGATCGTGCGTGACGTCGTCAATCAGCGGCAACCGGTTGTTCGGCGCCGCGTGCGCATTGCCCCTGAACGCAACCGCGAGCGCGGGGCAGGTCCCGCTGAGGAACTCGTCATTGCGAGGCCCAACGATCTCCCCCAGCGCATTCCGCGCCCCGTTCACTTTGAGGCCCACGTCCTTCGCCACCTGCGGGCAGACCACGCGCGACCTGGGCCCGCCCGCGGGCGTCAGGAGCGATGTCTTCGGGAAGCCGTGCTTGCACCTATCTCCGTGCTTGCGCCCTTTCCTGATGCAGTGGTGCTGAACTTTCGAGAAGATCATCTGCGCGTCCGTTTCGTACGCCTTCTTGAATCTGGCTGCGTCGTCGTCGCACTCAGCGACGTTGCATCCCTCCTCCCACTTGGTACTCCGCGCAGTTTGGTCCAGATACTTTGGCCACCGGCACAGCCCCAGGTGGTCCGACGACCAGAAATTCTGCCGCCACTCCGTCTCCAACGTCCGAAGGTTCGAACGGTGTCCCTCTGGGTCCCAGTGCTCTTCCCGGTGGGCCCACGCGTGCCGCGCCATCACTGCGTCCGCCAAGCGAGGGGGCCCCTGGATCTGCCTGGCAATCTCAGCCAGGGACGCGCGCTGGAACAAGTTCGCGAGGCACACGAAACCGTGAAAGTGCAGTGTGCCCAGGTGCTGGTTTTCTACAGCACCGAGCAGAGCAGCGGCAACTCCAAAAATTCCACCCATCGGCCGAGAATTCGAACCGAACCTGTCTGTACAGCGGCACGCGGGACCGCGACGCCGTCGGCTGGCGACATGCTGTGAACGTGGCTGCGACGAGAACTGACGCCCCGCGGCCGTGGGCGCCTTCGAGCACTTGCAGGAGGAAGTTCAGCGACCCGTTCTGTTTCGCTGACGTGGATGCGCTGTTCGGCGAGGAGGACATTGCGGCCTTCTGTCATCGAGTTCTTCGTTTTCTCGACGACCCTCTGGGAGTGGCGTCCGCGCCACCGCTGCCACCTCCGCCGCCGCCACCGCATCCTGAACCCCGGCCTCCACGCTCACGCAATGGAGTCGGCGCGGCCGACCAGCCCGCCGGCGCGCCCGCTCGGGCGCCCCCCCGCCGCCGCCGCATCCAGAGCCGAGGCGTCTGGGCGCTTGCAGTTCAGTGAGCGGGAGTGCGGCGGGTGCGAGTTCCGGCAGCAGCGCGCGCCCGCAGGGCGCCGACGGGGCGGGGTTGCCGCGCCGCGCGGCAGGCGCGCCCCAGCCGCGGTGTGAACGTGAAGAAACTGCCGCTGCAGCGGCGGAGGCTCCCGAGACTGACTCCGAGGCGGACGGGGAGTCATCGCCTTCAGAGCCGGCGTCGGATTCCAATTCCGAGCTGTCGGAGGCGGCTGCTGGATCAGAGCAGTCCGACGTGGACCACTTGGCCTGTGGCGCGGACGTGGCGCACACGACGCTGGACGTTGCCTACGAAGCAGCCCGGGCATTCTCGGCATTTCTCCACAAGGGCCCGACGCTTCCTCCGCCTTTCGACCCGTCGGACACCGCAGACAACATCTCCGAGGTGATGAACGGGCTGCAGTGGCCTATCTGCAACTGCGCCGTTCGAGAATGTCGCTGGACCGGGGAGACGGAAGGGGGCCTGCGGCGCCATGTCATCGGTTGCCATCAGGCCTGCCTCCCAGCCGCCTGGAGAGAGGGCTGGAACACGAGGCTCGCGGATAGCGCCGACGACCTCGCCGTCCACGCTGAGGTGCTCGAGAAGCGGGAATCGTGGACCTGGTCAATCTACTGCCAGGCGGTGGAGGTCCGGGCGCGCACTGGCATGCCGTCGCTTGGCATATGCAGAGACCGTCGTGCAATTCGCACCATGAGGCAAGTGGCGAACGATGCTTGTTTGTCTTCGCTGGTCTGCTTCTGCTGTGGACAGATTTACACGAGCGTCGACGACCCCGAGTCCGCTGGAGTCACTGAGATTGGATGGACGCCACTGCGGGGGCTCTTACGCAGTTGTCCGCGGGAGCTCCTGGAGTACGCCTTCGGCTTGGACGCCTTCCTGGCGCACTTCCCGCACCCTGCCCCGGATCACCGCGGGGCGCCGTCGCACCACTACCCGACACAGGCAACTCCTTCGACGCCGTGGATGCGAACGGTGAAGTGGACGGGGCCGAATGGGAGCGAGAATTCCATGCGATTCATGTGTTGCCCGGAAGACGTGGTGTGCGACCGTCAGCATGGAGTTGTCGATGAGCTGTGCGAGTGGTGCCGCATTCCTCTGTGCTGGCAGTGCCGCGTCATGTTCGCGAAGACTCGGAGTGTGCGGGAGCGAATTCCGCGCCTTGCCATCGCCAACGACAATTTCGTCGGGTTCGTTTCGGCTTTCTGGCAGACGCACAGACCTCGGTGGATCGAAATGGCGGCTGCCACGCCAGTGTGGACGAGCTTGATGGCGTTCTACGCCGAGGGCGATAAGGGCCACCTCGTGAACAACCAGGCGAGCTGTGCGACGCAGCGCGGCACTGCCCCCTGCCTTGTTGTTCGGCTCTCCCCTTCCTTGGAAACTGCAGGGTGGTTCGCGAGCGCACGGGGGGGCAGTGGCGCGCTGCGCGCACGGCGACCAACGGAGGCCATGCATCCGCAACATCGGTGCGCTGTCCGCGGTAATCTGGCCAGTTTCCTGGCGCATTGGGACGACGTCTTGGAGCGCCTCCTCGCCCTCACGGAGAATTCCAGCGTCGCTGCGGCGCTCCCACACGACGGCGAGACGCTGGCCCACCTGGTTCGCTTCGAGTTTCGGGTGAAAGACAAAGGCATGCGCAACGTCAACTTCCGCTTCTTGGCCATCACCGCGAGGTTGGGGAGCAAAGTGAGGAAGTACAGGGACGAGGACGGTTCTGCTTTCACGGAGCGCCTCACGACGGCCGTCCGCAGGTTGCACGACTTTCTGGCGAAGGGATATTACGGGCCGAGTAGGCGGCCAATTGCTGGTAACCTGACGGTGCTGCATATGGCGCACGGTTTGAACACTACCCAGAAGCAGATCGTGCACAAGATGCGGTCGGTGTCGCGTACCCTCGCTGGCACGCAGGAACTGCGTCGCAGGATGGGGCGCGTCTTCCAGTCCGGCGCGATCGGTTACGGCCACGGGCTCTTCATCACCATCTCGCCGAACGAGAAGCAGTCGTGCCTGGTCATGCGACTGCGCAGAGTACGTCAGGACGACCCGCTGCTGCGCGCGGGGTGCACGGACGACTCGCGCGCGGTCCTGCGGAAGCGGCTGGCGTCGCGGGATTGGCCGTCCCTTTCTGAGAGCGTCGACGCGGAGCTCCCTGACTTCGACCTCCGTTTGTGCGAGGTGGCAAATGACCCGCTCTCCGTCGTGCAGGGTTTCCGCGCCGCCGTGATCGTGATCTTGGGCCGTCTGCTGGGAGTCCGTCTGTGCGCTGAATGCGGTCGTAGTGCGCATGCCCGTCGACGTCATAGTGGACCACTGCAAAATCAAGCACTGGAATCTCCGCGCGCCCCTGCAGCAATCCCTGGTCTGGGATGATAGCAGCCTGGTTCCACGCATTGAATGGCACGCACAGAGCAAAAGCGCCACAAGCCAGGGCGACTGCAAGGGCAATGGGCGACTGGGCAGAGCTCCCGACCCGCGCGATGATTGCGCCTTCGGCACTCTGGGGGCCCGAGCGGCCAGGCTACATATTGTGAATACCCGACGTTGCAGCGGCACACTACCCCAATCTGGAGAAATCGCATAGTGGACTCTGCGTGCGCGACAAGCAAACCACCCCTCTAATGCATATGTACACTGCGCATTCTGCACTCACCCCTATTCGTATCTGGCGCCAACCAAACGGGCGCGCAATCTGCCGCGAGGTAGCCAGGCAGATACCCTCTGAACGTTAGCGGGCGCGGCTGCGCTGCAGCGCCCAAGAGCCCCAGCCATCGCCGAAATGACTTCGGAGCGGCTTCACTCGGCCATCTTCGCCCTTACGAGGTGCGGCTCTTCTTCTCGGCCGGCTCTCCGAAGGGAATAGCCGCGGCGGCCGCGGCGAGAACGGCGAGGTCCAGGTCGCTCGCGGACTCGACAGTCTCCAATGGCACCAGAGCGCGCAGCAGGTCCTCCGTGTGCGGTGCGTCGCGGGCTAGCACCAAGAGCGCGTCGAGGCCGTCTAGGCGGGGTTCGAGCATGTCCACCGTGTCCATGTCCTCTGAGAGCATGGCCGCCGTGGCTTCTTTTTTTCAGCGTCTCCTTGAGGCGCCCCAACTTCGCGAGCATCTTCGGCGCGGCCCCCACGGGCGCGACAGTCGCCGCTGCGGCAGCAGAGGCGACAACCTCCTGAATCGCCGTCAGCCGCTGCGTCCACTCAAGCCTTCGCGCAGGGCTTCAAATGCGCCGGGGCGCGCCCTATGGGCGTCGCCGCAGCTGGGGGGGCGCGCTGACCGCGGGGGCCCGCGGACCGAACCCTAAACCAACGCACCCCCCATCTCGCTGCAGCGACGGCCCTCGGGCTCCCCGCCGCGTGCGATTCCCCCGCGGCGGCCTGTCCACTGGGAACGACTGCGGCGACCACGGCACCTGCGCGCTCGAGACTTTCTCCGCGCCCACTCCGACCATCTCCGTCAGCTTCTTCAACGTGCCCGCGATGTCCTGCTGGATGTCTTTGTGCATCCGGAACTTTGAGATGGCCGAGACCTCCGCTGCCTTCTTCGCCTCGGCCGCGACGAACTCCGTCGCCGCCTTCAGGTAGTCGGCCGCGGCGACCGTCACAGGCGCCGTGGCCACGGGCTCCGCGGCAGCGGCGGCCGACGGCGGCGCTGGCGCCGGCGCCTTCGCCGCCGGACATTCAGGGGCGCCACCGCCCGCAGTCGGCGCCCGCGGCGCACCATCGCCGCTGGCGCTGACCGCCATCGACGTCGGCGATGCGGGAACTGTGTCGAGCCGCGTCGCCGGCGCTGCCGGAGCGACGCCGCTGCTCACCCCCGCGACCTCGCCCGCGGTTGCGCCCCCAGGCGCGGCTGCCATCTCCGCGAACGAACGGCCCGAGTCCACAGTGGAGCGCTCGGGCTCGACCAGCGCTGCCAGCACGGCCGCCTCGTCGGACGCGCCGCGCGCGCCCGGGAACGCGACGACAAAGGCTTGGACATCGCTTGCAGCGAAGTTGCCCCGGGCCGTCAGGAACGTGAGCTCCTTTACCAAGTCCAAGAGCCACTTCGCGAACACGTCGTCCACTCGCCCCGCCGGGGTCAGATTCACCACGTGGTTCGTCGTCCATGCTCCCGAAGACGAGGTATTCTGGCGCTTCAAATACTTCGCCGTGGCTGACGGCGCCTCGAAATGCCCCGGCACACCGGGCTGCCCGATCCCCATGGCCTGGTAGAAGAGCGCGTCCAGAGCCTGCTTCATCTCCCCGAGGCTTGGAGCGTAAACCGTCCACGCCCAGATGCCAGCGATGCTCTGCTCTAAACCATCCGCGCCCTCGCAGGTCCACGCAGTCGGGTTGACAGCGTCGCTGGGGCGCAAGTACTCGACCAAGCATCCAGCCGGGAGCGCGGCCTCGTACGCCGCCTTCCACGCGGGATGGTTGTTGGGGTTCTGCGAAATGAGGCCCGAGATCCACAGGACGGCCTGCGTGTCTTTCGACCGGTCCGTCAGGTCTTTCGCGCCGCACAAGTACGCGAGGCAGCCGTTCGTGAAGAGATGGCCGCGGAACTCCCCCGAAACGCCGTTGAAGATCTCCAAGCTCATCTCCTGCGGGGGCTGCGTGCGCCCCGAAGCCTTCGGCTTCACGGGAGACGCCGCGGAGCCAGCAAAACGCGACATGCCCGCGCCGGACAGCGGGCAACGTTCGGTTCGCAAGAAATGCGCCGTAAAGTGTCACGTAATGGCCACTGATGGTGCACTCGGGCAACAATGCCAATGGAAGTGCGGCGCGACTGTGGACGCCGTCAACATGTGACTCGTCGCACTCCTGCTTCTGGTGCTGGTTCTGACTCTGGTTTTTGCTGTGGCTCTGGCTTTGTTTCTGTCTCTGGGTCAGATTCTGCCTATGGTTCTGGTTCTGAGTCTGGCCCTGCTTTGCTTGTGGTCTTGCACTGCTGGCCTCGCGATCGGAGGCCCCCAAGAGTGCCCCGAGACAGCCCAAGGTGACCCCAATAAGGTCGGGGACGGCCCGCACGAAAGCGAATATGGCCCAGGATGGACATCAAGACGGCCAACACGGCCTCCAACGTGAAGGCTGAGTGACTCTGAGTGTGAGTGAGTCTGAATGTGAATGAGTCTTCGCGTATGAGTCTGAATATGACTGAGCTCAGTGTTACTGTATCTGAGCATGAGCGGTCTGAGTCAGATTCAGTCTGGGTATCAGAGAATGTGAGTTGGAGTCTGAGTGGCTTCAGACATCCTCACATCCTGCTCTGAAAGCATACGCGTCTGCCCACCAAACCAGGCAAACCACCCGTGACACCCTTGTAATATGGGCTTCTGGAACTGCATCGCAATCTGGGCCTCACATATGGGAGTCATATGTCCAAGACAGCCCAACGTAACCTGAGAGTGGCCCAAGCTGGCCTGAGGACCCCGCGAACGGCCTCCAATCGGCATAGTAGAGCTCCACGGGGGCCTCGCTCTCATGGTCACAACCGTCATGATCACCATCATTAGCATCATCATTGTCATTACCATGCTAACTATGGTCATCATCACTATCATAATTTGTCATCATCGTCATCATCATCATTATCCTCCTCCTCCTCATCATCATCAGCATCATCATGGTCATCATCATCATCATCATCATCATCATCATCATCATTGTCGTCATCATCATCACCACCGTCATCATCATCATCATCATCATCATCATCATCAGCTTCATCATCAGATTCATCATCAGCATCCTCATCATCATCCTCATCATCCTCATCGTTCGAACAGCTGCCACCGAAAATGCTGGGGTGGCAAGGCGGCGAGACTTGCCACAGGCAGCTCAATCTCGCGACGGGGCGCAGCCCCTTCGGGAGCGGAGGCCCCCTCCTCCGGCTCTCCCCTTCCGGTGCGAAAGCGTCTGGGACTTCGGCGCTCTTGAAGTTCGTGCAAAGCCGTCTTGAAGGTGTTTCCCTATGTCGGACCCTCCCCCACGTCCGAACCGCTCCCGCTCTACCTGAAACTCCCCCTCTTATCCGAAAGCCTCTCCTTCCGAGGTTCCTGGGTTCCCGAGTTCCTAGGCTCCTGGGTTCCCAGGTTCCTGGGTTCCTCCGCTCCTGGGTGCCTCGGTTCCCGAGTTCCTCAACCTACGGGGCTCTTCGAAACCCTCCTTCTCCTCCGACACACGCCATCCCACCGAACACTAAACGCTCCTATTCGACTCGCACCCCACACTCGCGGAAACTCATTGACCCGCTCTCTGGCCAGCACTTTTTGTCAGTCGAAGTGCAACGCTGGCGATTTATCATGCGGGACCCTGCGCACACGCTGGATGACGCCAGCGCAGGAACAGAGACTGAAATCCACAACAAAAAGTCTGTCGAGGCGAGGGCTGGCTTTGGGCGGACAGAAAAAGGCTTGAGAGACAGTGTCCATGGCGATCGTCAACATTACCATTGACATTAGCATGACCCGCTCTCTGGCCAGCACTTTTTGTCAGTCGAAGTGCAACGCTGGCGATTTATCATGCGGGACCCTGCGCACACGCTGGATGACGCCAGCGCAGGAACAGAGACTGAAATCCCGTAATCACGCCATTCCTATGCAGTAAGCTGGCTAGCAAGACGATTCACAATTGGCTGAGCGTGGCCACAGCACGGCGATGGACTACATGAATGAGAACATCGCCGATGAACTTGAAAATCTCTGGGGGGTATGGCTCCGCAACCTTCGAGAGCCATTTACCCCCCATCTTCCCTCGGATGTGCACATGTTTACGACCAGTGAAAGAACAGAGCCCCCCGCGACCGTGGCAGCGCAGGTGCGGGGCTTCGACCGTGCCACAGTGCTGAAAGACTAGCTTGGTTCTCTTGCGCATGGGCCCTCCAGCAGCACAGAAATCCACATCGACCACGGAGCCGCGAGCGAGAGCACGGCGCCGAGAAGGAAAACACCAGAGGATGGAGGTCTGTGGGTTCTCCTCGCCGCAGCAGATGCCCAAATCCCAGGCGAGCTGCTGGAGGCGGCCTCCAGAGTCAATGAGACTATTGGCCTCGCGCACCTGTGCGCGGTGGCTAGCAGACAGGTCAGGCAAGCCACGGTAATGCTCAGACGATCTCAGCGGCGGAGGCATGCGACCTGATCTGTCCGTGCGGGCACGAGTGGTGGTGATGCACGGAGTCGCAAACCAGAGGGCCCACACCAGGCCCGCACGAAGCCAGCCAGCGATGGTGAGCACCACCTCGCGCCGGCCGAGGTCGAACTGCGGCCCTTGCAGCTTGTCGAAGGCTATGCAGGCGTAGCCCTTGCGGCGAAGGTATTTGCTCACCGGCGCAGTGCCAGCAAAGAGGTCAACGAAGACGCTGTGCTTCAGCATGGTAGCATCTGCACGCGCCGCCCGCAGGCTGGCAGCAAGAGCCGGGCCAGCTCGCGCTCGCGGCGCTGCGCCTCCTCGCGGAGCTGCGCAGGGATGCGGTGCATCATCGAGGCCAGTCTGGCATGCTTCTCGTAGCGCCGCACGCTCTGGAACGAGCGCCAGCCGCCCCTCTTCTGAACGTCGAGGAGGGCCCGCGAGCGGGAGGACACGTCCTCCGAGGCCCCCCCGTGACGAAGGGAGTACGGCGTCACCTTCAGCTGCGCCAGGCCCAAGCCGAGGAGGCAGCTGTTCCAGGCCAGGAGGAAGTCGGTGTAGTGGAACAAAAAGAGCCGCTCCCGCTCCCCCCTGTTGGCCTTCAGAAGGCGCAGCGCCGACTCCAACAGGCGGTGGCGCGGCAGGTCCAGGGCGACGCTGGTGTCGAACTCGCCGGTCTTGCCAAGCACGTCTAGCTCGCTCGCGCGGATCAGGATGGTCCAGAACTGGCAGGCCCCCCTCTCGTTCGGCACGGGCGGCACCAGCTGTAGGCCGACGAGGCTGAGCGCCTCGCTCGGCCGCATGTACGTCTCGAACGTCAACAGCAGGAACAGAGCGTAGTCCGCCTTGCCGTCGGAGCAGAGTCGCAGGGCCATCAGCACAGCCAGCGACCGAGGGACTGGTGGGCGCGACAGCGGCTTCTCGAGCCGGCGCCATCCAGTGACCGCAGCAGTCGCCAGCGGCAAGCCCCGGCGCAGCGGACGCGGCAGCTCGGGCAGCGCCCAGCGCACTGCGGCCAGCGTGCTGGAGGCATCCCCCTCGGGCAGCCCGCGGTCGTGCAGGAACTCCACGTACTGCTCCAGCAACAGGTCCCACTCGCTTGCAGGGAGGCGCTGAGGGGCTCTGGGCACGTGCAGCCACGCCAGCAGCTTGCGCAGGGCGTTCAGGTAGTTGCTCTGCGTCGCCGTCGTCACGGCCGCGGCAGCCAGGGAGCTGATGTGGAACCCCAGCTCCTCCGCCTCCTCCGCACTGCGGGCGGCCGAGTGCAGCGATGAGCCCGGGCGCCGCCGCGCCGTCTCGCGGCGCAGCCGGCGCGCCGAGCCAGACTCCCCGCGATAGGGGACCAGGCGGCCCGGCGCAGGTTGGCGGGCCAAGCCCAGGGGGCCAGCAGCAGCCAGCGTGCGGCAGGGCAGCCGGCCCGAGGCCGGCGCAGGCTGCAGAGGGGGCGGGCTGGCAGGGCAGGCGCGGCGGCGAGGCAGAGCAATGCCCTCCGGCCGCGGCCCCCCGAGAGCCACGCCGCCCCCCGTCTCCGGCGCCACCAGAGGGCGCAGCGCCCGACTTGGGGCAGGCGGGGCCCGGCTCGGACTCAGGTTCGCCGCTGGCACCAGCACCCTGCAGAGCAGCGGGCTCGGGCCCAGGGAGCCCCGCGGCGAAGGGCCCCGCAAAGGCCCGCCGCTTGGAGCGCCCCGCCGCGAGCTGCTCGCGAAGCCCAGCAGCGCCCGCTGGCCCGTGAAGCCGCGCCTCGGCGAGCGCGATCGGCTGGGCGAAGGGCGAGTCGCCACAATCATCCTCGAGCCGAGGCGGCGGCTGGTGACCACGGTCAACGTCCGCTGGGCAATCCGCTGAGGGGGCAAGTGCGGTGTGAAAGTGACGAGCATGATGAGACGAAGATGGGTCGTATCTCCTGCTGGGCTCGTCCGCCGAGTTCCACTCTGAAGGAATCCACCGAAAAGAAACACGTGCTCCAAGGGCCAAGCACATGGCACAAAACTCGCGGCACCTCCGCAGCAGGTACCACGACGAGCTCCGCCCCTTGCACGAGGTGAGGACCCAGGCCATAGAGTCCGACAAAACTAAGTGCCGCTTCTGGGCGCTCAGGCGGCTGCGGGCCAGCCGCCGAACCTGCCACAAGGCTGCCTCCGCCTCGAGCGCGAGGATCTTGTCCTTGCGCCTCCAGCGGCGCGCAGCCACCACGCCCCAGTCGTCCCCGCGCGCCAGGGCCGACGGCACCTCCTCGAAGGCGGAGCGCAGCCCCAGCGCACGCAGCTGCTCGGGCGAGGCGTCGACAATGTCGCTCAGCGAGGGCTCAGCCTCCTCGCCCTCGACCAGGCAGCGCGGGCGGCGGGAGGTGCGCAGCGCCCCGCGGTACCGTCCCCGCTCTGAGGCGCGGCCGACGCGACCCACCTCAGCGGGGGGCCAGGCCTTCTCGGTGACGCCGAAGCCATGCAGCGAGGCGTCGACCGAGGCGACGGCGGGCGACCAGGGTAGGCTCATGTCGGCGACGGCGAGCGGCAGCAGCGCCCAGGCAGCACGAAGCTCGCGCCGAACTGAGGCCCACACGCGCGCCGGCTGCCCGAAGTAGCGGTCGGCGAAGACGTACACGGCCGAAAAGATGGACAGCATCTCGGGCCGCAGCAGCATGATGGCCGAGGCGTGGCCGACGGCCCGGGCAATCTGGCGCCCTGTGCGGCGCTGACGGCCCCAGCCCAACGTGCGGAGGGCCAGCGCGACCTTCCAAAACTTCCTCGCCGTAGGCCGCCACTGCGTGCCCGTCGGGTCCAGCTCGAACCCGAGCAGCGGGGCGCCAGCAGGCTCCGGCGCGGCGTCCACTCCAGCGGCCGCCACGGCGCCCAGCATCTGCTCCAGGCGAGCGTTCGCCTCCGTGGGGCTCGTGCCAAGTGCCGCGAAGTTGTCGATGTAGATGAGCGAGGTTCCCGAGCCAGGGCAGACGGGCTCGCGAGGCACGTACTGGGCCAACCAGCGGTCCGCCGGGGCACAGGGGCGAAGGATCTCCATCATGGCATGTTGTATGAAGTAGACCGCCCATGACCAGCCCATCGGCACCACTCTCAGGCGCAGGCGCACCAAGCCGTCCGGCGGTGGCGCCCCAACGAGCCGACGAGCGGCAAGCGGCAGTGCGGCCCAGGGCACAGGCGGTAGGCCAAAGGCCTCGCGCAGGTGCACTGGCAGCAAGAACTGGTAGAAGCAGCACGTGACGTCGCCCTGCGCGACGAAGAGGCGCCCCCCCGCCTGCAGCTCGATGTTGCCGAGGGCCTGCGCCGCAGCCAGGGGGACGTAGTCGGGCTCCGCGAACTCGGTGTTGGAGGCCCTTGTGTCGAAGATCAGCCTGAGGGCCCCATCCTTCTTGTAGACGAAGAAGGGCGCCACCTGTGAAAACGAAGTGCCCACCTCGAGCATGTCACGCTCGAGGAGGTCAGCCAAAAACTTCCCATAAGTGCGAGGATTGCTTGCCAGCCTTCGGTCAAAAGCCAATTTCGCCAACGAAGAAGAAGATGTGGAGCCTCTCATCAGCAAAGTGCCAGACTCACCCATCAGCAGAGAACGTGGACCCTCCGGTAGTGCAGCAGCTAGCTCCACCGCGCCAGAGGCCACGCGCGGAAGAGAGACCTTCCCGCGCTGGTAGGAGGCGTACTTCCCGCTGGCCATGTCATCGAAGCCATAGCCAGGATCGGAGCCGATCACGGCGCGCGTGGCCGAGTCGGCGGTCAGGTCCGACGGGCAGCTGGGCACGGTGGCATAGGAGCTGCGAAGCCGCTCCAGCGCGTCAGTCTGAGGACCAGAGGCTGCTCCAGTCCGTCGAACAGCACCGCGCCCTCCCATCTCATTGAGGGTCTGCAGACCAGCCGAGAACCATTCCAAGCCCAGCGCATCCCCTTGACGCAGCACAGGCGAGGTGGGCGCTGGCAGCGGCAGCAGGTCCCTGGGATCTGCCGCAAGACCTGGCGGCATAGCGGCGGCGCAAGCGCTCAGCCGCCTCCCCTGGTGGTGTAGAAGCGGCGCCCAGCCGGGGGGACTCCGGGGCCGCTGCAGGGTAGCACGGGCGAGGAAGGCGTCAGCCCTGCCCCCCCGAGCCAGCGCCCGGGGTGCCAGTCTGCCAGTCCTTGCCCTTCTTGTTGTCCTTGAGCTTCTTCTTGTGGTCGGCGCCGAGCGGCTGGCCAGCTCCGCCGCCGCCGCCGCCGCCGCCTGTGGCCGCCGCCGCCAGAGCCCGTTCCTCACGGCCCTTGCGGCGCTCCTTGAGCACGGCGGCCTGCTCCTCCATGCGCTTCGCCACCCAGCGCTCCAGCTCGGGCGAGATGAGGGCGTAGCCCTTGGCGCGGTCGCCGCCGAGGAACAAGTGCCTCTCAGCCGCGAGGCCCGCCGCCACCGAGCCCTCCGTGGAGGCGCGGATCCGCTCCTGGTACCGCTCCTCCCAGAGCTGGTAGCGGCGGGCCATGCTCTCGAAGCAGGCCAAGTTGCAGATGTTGAGCTGGTCATACTGCAGCCCATGCTGGATGCACTCCGAGAGGAAGAGGTGCTCGTCGATCCCCGGGTCCGACGTGGTCGCCCCCAGCGCCTGTCTCCACCAGTGATGGCGAGGCACGGGGGCCATGCCGCTGTGGGCAAAGGCCTCGATGAGCCACTGCACCGTGCGCGGGCCCTCCACGGGCCAGGCGTCGTCCAGGACCTCCTCGCGCAGCAGGTGACGAGCTGACTCGAAGCTGCGCGTGCGCTCGCCGCGCACGTTGTACTCGACAGCCAGTGTGCGGAGGTCCTCCGCCGCGGCCGCCTCGCCCTCGCCAGCTGGCAACGGCGTCGGCGGGTCGCGGCAGAGGCGGTACCAGACTCCCTCCCGGCACAGCAGGGCCTGGCCCGCGACGCCGAATGCGAGGTCCGAAGGGCGGATGGTGATGCTCTCCCCGCGTCGGCGGGGACCCTGGTTCTCGCCGACAAACCACTCGGAGCCCACGAGGCAGGCGTGAGCCACCAGCGCGCCGGGGTCATAGAAGCCTGGGTCGACGTCGGCGGCTGGCACCAGCGAGCCACGCGCGGGGGCAGACATCGCGCCAGCGTCAGCAAGGGGCGCGGGCACCCGCCCTCCTCCCTCGGCCGCCGGAGGCGCGCCAGCCCAGCCAGCCAGGTAGGCCTCGGCTCTCCGCCGGAAGGCGCTGCCGTGAGCGATGTCCCCCGGGCGGAAGGCGTAGCGGAAGATCTTCGGCCCGTAGAGCCGGCTCGGGATGCCGCCAGCCACACCACTAGGCAGAGCAGCCTCGTAGTCCTCCAGCAGCTCCTCATAGACGTCGCCGTCGGGCGTGAGCACCACGTGGCCCCCGACGGTGCGCCGCAGCACCAGGCGCTCGTGCCAGACCCCCTCCGACGCGTCGAACAGGGCCCAGAAGCGCCTTCCGGCGGCCACCGCGAGGTCATCTGCCATCAGGCGGACGGTGGCGCCCCACCCTCAAGCCGGCCGCGAGCCCCAGCCGGCAGCGTCAGCTGCTTGATCCCTTCCAGCCCTGCGGCCACCACGAGCGGCGACGCCGGCCTCGGTGGCGCCCACCAGCGGGCCGCGAACCAGCCCGTCACGAGCTGCCCCGCCGCGACGGCGAGCAGCTGGGCGGTGGACCAGCCCGGAGACCCGCAGTCGCACTGGCAACCGCAGATGGGCGCCGGCGGCGCGGAGCGGGCCAGCAGGCAGAATGAGCCTATGGAGAAGGCACAGGCGACTGCGGACGGGTCGACCGGCATCCTTATCCGGACAGAAAAAGGCTTGAGAGACAGTGTCCATGGCGATCGTCAACATTACCATTGACATTAGCAGCACTCCGAAGGCCATGACCTCAGAACGAAACGCCGATACCAGGTCCGCCCTGACGCTGGTGACGCCAAAGCAGAAACTTAGGGTGAGAGTCACAAAATGATAGTGCCCCTTCCTGAACCATGAACCCACTTGTTCCCAAAATAAGCTCATACCGAGGAGCTCCCGACGCTGTACAAAAGCTGTCCTAGGTAGCATGTCCAACCAACGCCCGCCGCGACGACGAAGAAGAGCATCAAAAAAGCGGGCACATAACCCGAGAAGACGACCAAGAAGTGGCGTAGCGAGGAGATGAGCGAATGATCAATTATCCCTGCGCGCACTCAGGCCAAATAGAGTTCACCACGGGGTGCTCGACGCGCGGCGTACAACTCAATCGGCTACCGCCGTATGCAGGGCCCCTTGTGGGCCTCAAAACCTACAAAAACTTATGGGAAATCGATGATTTGGGCTCCTTGGGCCTCTTGGGGGTCCAAGAGAGCGTGAAGACGGCTCAAGATGGTCTCAAGACGGGGCAAGACGGCCCCAAGACGGCCCAAGATGGCCCCAAGAGGGCTCAAAAAGCCACCAAGATGGCCCAAGAGGGCCCCAAGAGCGCCCACAAGAGCGCCTCCAGAGGCCAAAAACAATGATTTTCGATAGGTTGTTGAAGGATTTTAGCGTTCTCGCCTTTTCCGGCTCTCAGAGGCACATGACGTCCCAAGCAGCCTCCAAAATGGCCCCAAGACAGCCCAAGCAGCACCCACTGGGGGCCCCAAGACGGCCCCAAGTCGGCCCAAAGAAGCCCCCAAGACGGTCCAAGAGGCCCCCATACGGCCCAAGAGGATTCCAAGAGGGCCCCAAGGCGGCCGCGAGAGGCCCCCAAGAAAGCCCCCGAAGGGGCCAAACGGCGCAAAAGCGCCCCAAGACGGCCCAAGATGCCCCCAAGAGGCCGCCAAGAAGCCCCCAGGAGGCCCCCAAAAGGCTCCTGGGTTCCTGGGTTCTTCGGCTCCTGAGCTCCAGGGTTCCGGGGCTCCAGGGATGAAGAGTTCCTGGGGGGGATGTTCCTGGGGTCCTGGGTTCTGGGGTTCCTGGGCTCCTGAGGTCCTGCGTCCAGGATTCAAGGGTTCCTGGGTTCCTGGGTTCTCGGGTTCCTCGGTGCTCGGGTTCCAAGGCTCCACAGATGAAGCGTTCCTGGGTTTCGTGGTCTTCGGTTCCTGGGTTCTTGGGTTCCTGGGCTCCTTGGTTCCTGGGTCCAGGATTCAAGGGTTCCTGGGTTTGGTGAACCTGGGTTCCTGGGTTCTTGGGTTCCTAAGTTCCTGGGTTCTCAGATGTGGTGCTCCTGGGTTACAGGGTTCTTGGGCGCCTGGGTTCCTGTCTTCATAGGTTTCTCGGTTCTTGGGTTTCGTGTTCCTGGGGTCCTGGGGTCCTAGTTTCCTGAGTTCCCGGATGCCTGTATTCTTGGGTTTGGTGTTGCTGGGTTCCTGGGTTCTTGGGGTCCCAAGCTCCTGGGATTTTGGGTTTGGCGTTCCTGGGTTCTTGGGTCCCTCGGTTCTCGGTATCCTGGGTTCTTGCGTTTGGTATTCCTGGGTTCCTGGGTTCCTGAGTTCCCTGGTTCTTGAGTTCCTGCGGCTTTTGGGTCTTGAGATCCTGGGTTCCCAGGCTCTCCTCTTCCATTGCCTCCTCCTTATCCTCCTCCTCCTCGCCCTGCTCTTCATCCCCCTCCTCCTTCTCCTCCTCCTCCTCCTCCTCCTCCTCCGCCTCCCAACCCCCGAACTTTCCGCGCAACCTGGAAATACCTGGAACCCAAGAGCACCAGAACTCCAAACCCCACAGAGAGACCCGCTGCAGGCGCAAGACCTTGATTCCACACACCCTTCGTTCCGTGGTTCGGTTCCTGGGTTCCGAGCTTCCATTCCTTGGCTCCTGGATTCCCAGGTTCCGTTCCTGAGTTCCCAGGTCCCCGAATCCCTGAGTTCCTGAGTTCCGGGCTTTCTGGGTCCCCGGGATGCTGGATCCCCGGGTTGCTGGGTTGCTGGGTTACTGGGTCCCTGGGCCCATGCGATCCTGAATTCCACGGTCCCTGAATTCCAGGGTTCCTGGGCCCCTGGGGTCTTTAGTTCCACAGCTTCTGGGTTCCTGCCTGGGTTCTTCGTCCCTGGTTTCCTGGGTTCCTGATTTCCTGCGTTCCTGGGTTCCTCCTTTGGGTGATCCTGGGTTCCTGGTATCTTGGGCTCCTGGGATCCTGTGTTCCGGGATTTCTGGTTTCCTGGGTTTGGTGTTACTAGGTTCCTGGGTTCTTGGGTTCCTGAACTCCAAGGTTCGAAGACTCCAGGGATGAAGGGTTCCCAGGTTTCGTGTTCCTGGGTTCCTGCGATCTTTGGTTCCTGGGCTTCTGAGTTCCGGGGTCCAAGATTCAAGGGTTCCTGGGTTTGGTGCTCCTGGGCAACTAGGTTCTTGGGTTGCTGGGATCTCGGATTTGCTGCTCCTGAGTTCCAGGACTCTTGGGTTCCAGGGTTCCTAGGTTCTTGGAGTCCTGGATTCTTGGGTTCTTGGGTCCCTGGGTTCCTGGGTTCCTAAGTTCCTGGGTTCCCGGCTGCCTGGGTTCCTGGGTTCCTGGGCTCCTGGGTTTCGGGGTTTGGTGTTCCTGGGTTCCTGGGTTCTTAGGTGCCTGGGTCGTTCCTGAGTTCTTCGGCTCCCAGGTTCCAGGGTTCAAGGGTTCCTGGCTTTGTTGTTCCTGGGATCCTGGGTTTGGGGGCTCCTTGCCTCCATGGTTCCAGGGTTCCAAGATGTCTGGGTTTGGTGTACCAGGGTTCCTGGGTTCTTGGGTTCCTGGATTCCTGGGTTCCCGGTCTCATGAAATCTTGCGCATTCTGTTCCTGGGATCCTGGGTTCTTGGGTTCCTGGGTTCCTGGATTCCTGGGTTCCTTGGTTATTGGGTTCCTGGATTCTTGGGTTCTTGGGTCCCTGGGTTCCTGGGTTCCTGGGTGCCTGGGTTCCTGGGTTCCTGGGTGCCTGGGTCCCTGGGCTCCCGGGTTCCTGGGTCCCTGGATTCCTGGGTTCCTGAGTTCCCGGGTTCCCAGGTTCCTGGGTTCCAGGGTTCCTATAGGTTCCTGGGTTCCTGGGTTCCTGGGTTCTGGGGTTCCTGGGTTCTCCGGCTCCTCGGTTCCTGGGTTCGTGGGTTCTTGGTTCCTGGGTCCCTGGGTTCTTGGGCTCCTGGGTTCCTGGGTTCCTGGGGTCCTGGGTTCTTGGGCTCCTGGGTTCTATGGTTTATTGATACTATATTCCAGGGGTCTTGGGTTCCTGGGTTCCCGGGTACCTGGGTCTTTGGGATTCGTGTTCCTGCGTCCCTGGGTTCTTGGCTTCCTTGGTTCCTGGGTTCCAGAGTTCCTGAATTCTGGCGCCCGGTGTTCCTGCGTTCCTGGGTTCCTGAGTCCTGGGTTTCTGGGTTCTTGGGTTCCGGGGTTCCTGGGTTCCTTGGTTATTGGATTCCTGGGTTCGTGGGGTCCTGGGTTCCTGGATCCTGGGTTCTTCGGTTCCTGGGTTCCTGGGTTCCTGGATCCTGGGTTCCTGGGTTCCTGGGTTCGTGGGTTCGTGGGGTCCTGGGTTCCTGGGTTCTAGAGTTCCTGGGTTCCTCCGTTCCTCGATTCTTGGGTTCCTGGATTCCTTGGTTCCTGCGTTTCTGGGCTCCTGGGTTCCTGAGTTCCTTGGTTCCTGGGTTCCCGGGTTCCCAGGTTCCTGGGTTCTCTAGTATCCGAGATTCCCGTGTACCTGGGTTCCAGGGTTCCCGGGCCCCTTAGGTTCTAGGGTTTCTTGTTCCAGGGTTCAGGGGTCTCTCGGGTCCTGGGTTCCCGGGTTCCTGGATTTGTGGGTTTGGTGTTCCTGGGTTCCTGGGTTAGTGGCTTCCTGAGTTCCTGAGTTCCTGGATGTTGCTGGGTTCTTGGGTTCCTTGGTCCTAGGTTCCTGGGTTCCTGATTTCCTGTGTGTTAGAATGGGGGTGTTCCGAAACGCAAGAGGACCCCAAGAGAGCCCCGAGGCGGCCGCGAGAGCTCCGCAAGGGCCAAACGGTGCAAGAGCGCCCCAAGACGGCCCAAGACGCCTGCAAGAGGTCCCAAAGAGGCCCCAAGAAGCCCCCAAGAGGCCTCAAAGAAGCTCCCAAGAGGCTCCCAGGAAGTCCCACAATGACTGGACTATACGTGCTCCGGACGTGCACCCCGCCAAGCGAGAGGAATTTTCATCTCGCCTTTTCCGGCTCTCAAACGCCCATGACGGCCCAAGCAGCCTCCAAGACGGCCCAAAGAGGCCCCCAAGACGGCCCAAGAGGCCCCTAAGACGGCCCAAGAGGACCCCAAGACGTCCCCAAGGCGGCCGCGAGAGGCCCCCAAGACGGCCTCCGAAGGGGCGACACAGCAGAAAAACGCCCCAAGACGGCCCAGGACGCCCCCAAGAGACCCCAAGAGGCCCCCAAGAGGCCCCCAAGGGGCCCCAAGAAGCCCCCAAGAGGCCTCCAAGAAGTCTCCAAGAAGCATCCAAACGGCCCCACAGAAACCCCCCCAAACCCACACAGTGACTTGAGTGTACTGTCATTTTTCCCTCCTGGGCGAATTGCGGCGCAGCGCCAGCCAGGTGGAAGTTGGTCACGGCGGCGCCCATGATTAGAGCTGGCGCTGGAAGGGGATATGGGGAGGGAGTATGAAAAGGAGGGAGGGGGGAGAGGCCCCAAAGACGTCCCCAAGAGGCCCAAAGAAGCTCCCAAGAGGCCTCCAGGAGGCCCCCAAGAGGCTCCCAAGAGGCCCCGTGACGACGTGACCAAGACGGTACAGGATGGCCCCAAGAGGGCCCCCCCAAAAACCCAGACGCCCCAAGAGGGCGCCAAGAGGACCTCCAAGAGCGCTTCCAGAAACAAGCATCATTGATTTCCCATTGAGCTTTGAAAGATTTTGGCGTTCTC